AAACAAAAGAAATAACTAAACCGGCACGGGCTCCAAAAGACATCACTTAATCACGGCTGGAGCGGGATCTTACACCAGGGACCTCGAAGGGGACACCCGTCCAATTCTCTGTCATGTCCAGGCCTTAATTATTTAAACAGACAAAAGAAAAGGGAAACGAATCCTCAGAATATCTCTCCACCTGATGAGCTCCGCAGTTGCAGGCCATCGTTGTGCCCGCCAACCTGGCTGTCATACAATCAGGCAACGAGCCCTTCGAGCGATTGTAATCTCGACTTTTGGCGCAAGTCGTGGATTTATGCTTAGAAATAACCAATCCGGCATCGCTACAGGTGCAGAAAGGCCTTGGGCCTGGTGAGGGTCTCTCCACATATGTTTGCGATTCACCAGGTTGTTTGTTTCTGATCGTTCCCTAATGAAGAAAACAGATTTGCTAAATTGCACTACTCTGATCCGGTTCAATTGCGCATTAATCGAGAAAAGCTACGGTCTAGTTCCAAACTGAAGGTGGCTGTCTGCAGATCCAATTAGAGGTTTGTCAGTTGGGAAAGAACAGGATGCTGGAATCATAAAACGAAAGAACAAAGAAAGTATCCGCAATCATAGATTCTCTGCCATCGTATACAGAACTGAAGTGGTTGAGTTCGTGACTCTGGAAAAAGGGGGGCGTGAATTCGCTCCCCAACAAAAACACGCTGTCCTGTGTTCGCAACTCGTCCTTGTAATGTTGAATGACAATGTTTATGATTCCACAACATCTGCAGGATTGCGTACATACATTTGTGGTTCTCATTTGGCCACAGAAAGAGAGGGAAATACCAGAAGCGACAGGGGCCTCGCGGCTTGCGTGCTTGTGATGTAATGTAATTACTGCTGGTGAATGGCCTGCATGCACTGCCTCGCCATCCATAGATCAGTCATCTTTTAAGTGATCTGAATGTTTCGTTGGCTGTTTTGATAGCCCTGTGGTTGATTAAAGCAGCTTACATGAAATTTGCCAGAAACATTTGGTTATATGTTAGGCATAATGCACAGTCAGGCAGTCATTACTATGAAACAAACTGAAAAGGCTAAACTAGTGGAACAAACAAACGGTCATGAAACTTTTGTTGAAATTACTTTTTTATCTTACTCTGAAGAAATCTTAGGCTTAGGATTTAAACTTAAATCTTTTGTAAGATAAATGGTGCTTTGGATCATAATAAGCATATAAAATCATAAAATAAGCAAATATATATATATATAATACATGTTATTTACTTACTGTTAATGTAATTAATTTATGTGCATATTTAAATATTGGATTCACACTAATAATAATCATTATAATAATTTTAAAATGGTGAAGGTGATAATGCTGATAAAATACAGTATGTATTTGTTCAAAATATTCATTAGAAATGCATTGTTATTATTATTATTATTATTATTAATGATAAATGAATAGTCTTATCATATTTTAAAAACTAGTATTACATTTAATTATTATTAATAATAATAATAATACATATTTACACCATATTTATTACACATTTCATATTATTATTATTAATGTGATGATACACATATTATAAAATGATTACATTATAAATATTTTAGACTATTCTATATTTTCAAGTAATAAATAACATTTTAAACAACAACAGTAATAATAGTTAATAATAATAATAATAATAATAATAATAATAATAATAATAATAATAATAATAATAATAATAATAATAATAATAATAATTTTTAATAAATATCACTTTTTATTATTATTGTAATTAATAACCACAAAATAATACAATTATAATTATTATTCTTACATTAAGGTTCTTATGATTGTTAAAAAATTAAATACTACTACTAATAACAATAATAATAATAATATTGCAATGCGCAAGTATTGCACTGGAGAGTAATGCGATGTTTATATCCCATTGGAGAGCATATGCAAACCTTGTCACCACTCTCCAGCCAAAAAAACAACAACAACAAAGGAATGCAGACCATCAAGCATTCAGTTTGGCAGGACGCATGGACTCTCAAACTGTTCAATGAAGGATCTCATTTCAGACCATGTCATAGTCATATTGACTACTGGCAAGCAAAAAGACGTGTGCGAGAATTCAAAGTCTCAATTTATGAGGCCAGTAGCACTGAGGTGTGAAGGGAAAATGGTTTGTTGATGTATACTGGCCAATCTGATTCATATAACCCTCCATCAGCCCTTCTTCCAAACGTACAGCGAGAGAATTACTCAATTGAAAGTGAAGGGTAAAGTCCCTTAACATTAAAGTGCCTTTGTTTCAGTGTTCGCTATGAACGTCATCTTTGATTTCAAATGATCCTGGTGCTTCACCGACATCTGTCTGTGCACCAGATTAATGGCCGACTCTCTCAGGAAGAGCTGACACATTTGGCCAACTCGACTGTCTTCATGCCACCATAAGCATGAATCAATGGAACAAATTATCATCGACTCCATGTCGCTTTACCACTATATTAGATGCAGTTCCAGACAACAGGTTAAGGTTTTAACCACATCATTTGGAACCCAAAAAGCATGTTTTCCCATTGACAGCCATTCAAAATAGCCATATTTATTCTTTTCTCTGCCCAAATCTTGTGATCTATAGGTTTTCATGAAGCACACCAAAGTTGGTGCGTAACTACGCCTGCGTTTGTGAAGGGAGATGTTTTTCACTCGTCCTGTCCGTCTCATGAGGGACTGTCATAATGAACAGACCAGATACTATCACAAGACATCAAACTCAGTCAGCAAACCTTCAACAGGACACGTCTCTCAGGAACAGCATGTACGGAGATGGAGAAAATCTGTGGACAACATAGAATATATTGTAAGACTACAAATCTCTCCAACGCTAGCCTTCATGTTGCTACTGCAGACATATCTATCCAGAAATAAACATCCATCTAGTTCAGGGCCTTGAGTTACAGAATAGGTACCAAGAGTATTTATGTCCCTCATATAGATTTAGGCAGAATGTTCATTTTAGTGGATTTTTCTGATTTATATTTTAAAA